GTGGCACCTATTGAGGAAAAAATGGTAGAAAATCGGTTGAGATGGTTTGGGCATGTACAAAGAAGACCAAGGGAGGCACCAGTGAGAAGAGTGGAACATATAACTTTGAGTCCGATTAAGAGAGGTAGAGGAAGGCCTAAGAGAACACTCTTGGAAGTTGTTGAACGTGATCTCTTAATTAATAATATTTCTAAAAGCTTAATAAATGATAGAGCACAATGGCGTCTTGCAATCCATGTAGCCGACCCCACCTAGTGGGATAAAGGCTTGTTGTTGTTGTTGTTGTATCATATTAAATAAAAATAAATATAAAATGAATATGAAATAATTTTAAGAAAAGTTAACTAATTTATCGGGAGATGTGATTTAGTTAAACATACTTACTCCCTCCCTTTCTATATATAAGAAAAAAAAATTATATTACATACTTTGAGAAAATTTTTAACTACAATAACTATGTTAAAAAAATAAAAAAAGTGAACTAAAATATCTTATGTTGATCAATATGAGCATTTCTGGTTAATATAAATTATGAGAGATAATTTAAAAAACTCACAATAAATAGCTATTGAAATAATAATATGTATGATTTTACTTAAAAACTAAATTAAAAATGACAGTTTCTTTTGCAAATAGGTGGGAGTATAATATTGAAGGAAGGGAGCATGATATACCATTTATTATCGATTATATAGATTTTAATTATTTACTATTTTTAATCAAATCATGATGAGTGTCAAGTTAAAATATATGATTAAATTAAATATGCACGCCGATTTAAGTTAAATTAAATATATACAATTCGTCGTAATTCCAACCGATTTGTTTGGACAATATATATTTCATTGGTAGTTTTTATCTTGAAAAACAGTCTGTATATTGATATATTCTTCTTTTTTTTTTTTGGTGAATTGTACATTGATATATTCTATTCGAAAATTATATTATTTAAAAAATTTATTCAAATTTAATAATGGGCATGTGAGTTGCCATTGTCCCATCGGGGTCTGTAGGGCGTAGGGACTAGGGATGGGACATTTGTTTGTATACGGTGGGCTTTTATATCAATTTTCAATGTTTCTCGGTTTAGATACACCTTTTTAAAAAATTAAATATTAAAAAATATAAATAATTGATATATTTTTAAATACTTAAAATTAACAAATATGTTTATAATTATTTTAAAATAAAATATCTTATTAAATAAAAGTAATTATAAAAAGATAATATTATTATAAAAATAATTAATTATTTTATTAAAGAATGAAATTTAATTAATAATATCTTACGTTGAAAATAAGGGGAGCATATATTTTCTAAAATTATTATTTATATATTTAAAAATACCAAAAAAAAAACTTATAAATGTTATTATTTTACATTTTTAAAAGGACTCATAACAGGGAGTCGTATTTTTACAAAGTGTTGATTTATAAGATATCTTTTTTGTAAAATTACAAATGTTACCTTTTCTATGAAATCTCAAAAAATAACTTTTAATTCCTCCATTTAAAAATATAAGGCATTTTTAACTGAATCTCATCATTTAATAAAGTTCTTACCTATTTTTAAATTAATCATATTTTTTTATATTTATTGTTATTAACTACCCTATATTAAATATAAAATTATGAAATTTTTTTTTTAAAAAGTAATGATTATATCTCAAAAAAATTAAAAATGCCTTACATTTTTAATATCTAACTCCTCAAAAAATACTTTACATTTTTAAATGAAGGAAATATTAATAAAATGAGAATGAAAAAAATTATTTAAATAATAAAATAATAATGAATATTTATAATTATTAAAATTCTATTCTTCTCAAAATAACTAATATTTTAAAATACAAAACCACTCTAAAAAATATTATAAATTGGGATGGAAGGATGAGTATGTTAGCTTGTGGAGCGGGGAGTATGATGGAATTAATATTAATAATTATAATATTAAATCAAAAAATGTTGACGGCGATGCCACCGTTATGTTTCCGAAAAAGGAAAGATTCCTTTTCGCGCGATGCATTCCAATTAAAGTATGCGGTCAGTGCAATCCATCATTTCACGTGGGGGCGCGTGGACTCCCAACCATCAAGGATCCACCTAACCCAGCCAATCTGTACACGACACTTCACTGTCAATGACTCAATTCCTACTTCTTTGTTCAAATCAGAATAAATAATTCAATGGCCCTGATTAGAAAAAATAATAAATTTTTAACAATAATTCAAGCTGTGGCTTCGGACGATATAAAAATGTTCTTATTTCTATTTTAGTCTTCCAGATCACATTATAAGATATTTTTTTAATTTTTTTGATTTAAAATATAAAATATTTAATAATTTTTATAATTATTTTTCAATCATATTCTTATTTTATTTATTATTTTTATTTTTTAAATAATGTATTAAAATTTTAATTATCATTATCAAAATACTTATATAAAATATTTAATAAAAATAAAATTGAAAAGACGTAAATTTTTGAAAAAAAAATTAAGACTTTAACTAATATTTTTTAAAAAATTATAGCTATTAATGCACTATATTTTGGTCTAAATGGAGTATTATTTATTCACAATTATTCAAATTGACTTTTAGTATATACTTTTTCCATTAAACAATATAATGTATTTTTAATTAAATTTTATCTTTTAATAAAATAGTTACCTACTTTTTAATTAACTTTATCTTTTCATATTTACTCATGTTAACCACCCTACAATAAATATAAAGTCATTATTAATAGGAATATTTTTGAAAAAAATAATGATTACACATCGAAAAATTTAAAAATGTCTTACATTTTTAAACATTCAACTCTTTAAAAAATATCTTATATTTTTTAACGGAGAGAGTAAATCATAATAAATGTGCAAATTATATTTTAGAGTGTTTATCCAATTTCGAGACACGTGATCATCAGTTGACAAGTCATTGTTCATTCATCTTCGCGAAAACACATTTTGTGGAGAATGCATATTTTTTTAGGGATGTTTTGCAATTCATTTAACACGATCCAAAAGTACAATAATAAAATAAAGATTAAATATAATAGATGAAGTAATTTTGTTTACTTTATTCCCAAGATGCTCCATGTGGGTACATGATGCATAGGAGAAATTGAAAATTTTTATGTCACGTGGAATTTCTGAACGGGGTATGATTCTGGATACGTGTGTGTCATTTTTGTTTGCGAGGAAGACTTTAAAAAATAAGTAATCGATGAACATTATGAACAAAAGTTAATTTTATCAGAAAACATTATGATCATGAAAGTAAAGGTCTTAAATTTGAATTTTTTTATGAATGTAAAAAACATCTTTAAGAAAGTTATTTCCAAATACAATATGCTCTAAGAAAAGAAAAAAAAATTATATCAAAAGTCTCACTCAATATAATTAATTATTTTTTTTTTAAAAAAAAAGCATTGGACAAGTCAATCATTCTAGAGTGATGCGGGGCTAAATGCTAGAATGATGCACAGAAATTAAAAAAAGTTTCGCCAGAACAGAGTTTATTCCATACATAGTGGCCATTGAGGTACAACCTATGGAGCTGTGTGGAGAAGTCAGCTCCCGTAACTCTCATTCCCTCATATGCCATGGCCACGTCATTTATTCCCAAGGGAGAGATGAGCAACACCTACTTCTACTTCACAAATCACAACTGGGCTTCATTCAGATTCGTTTTCGGTTTTTAAAATCTAGATTTTAGAGTCCTTTTTGACTAAAGTGTCTAAAACACTGAATTTAGACTTGGACCGGACCCAAATTAGTATTGCCGCATGTTCGAGATTCAGTGCAGCCCAAAAGGGCCTGAGTGTATGTATTCATCATTAATTAAAATTATGGGCTAACCATGTGAGTGTGATACCTTCGGCTATAAGGAAAAAAAAATAAAATCACAAGCTTGTTGAATTATTACTTATTTTTTCAGGGTTGGTCATTTACGCAACTACAATCAGATCAATTTTAACATTTATCAAGTATTTCATAACATATTTTTATATATAACTTTACCTTTGTTTGATTGGAAGAGAGAAAAAAATATTTTTTAGAATGAAGGGGAGGGAGAGGGAGGAATCCCTCCATTTGGAGAGTTTCCCCTCCCCAAACACGTCATTAACTTTTAATTATAAATTATTTTTTATTCTCATTAAATATTTGTAAAAAAATGTTATTACTGTATATTCATTCTGACCATAATATAAGTAAGTAATTATTCACTAATTTATGTTTATAAAATAAGTTGGTTAAAATATTGATTTTCTAAATTTTTTTATATATTTTCAATCATGTCTTTAAATATAATAAATATAATATTTGACTTATCTAAAATACTCTTATTGATAATTTATTAAAGTAAGAGTGTAATTAAAAAACATATATAACACTTGCTTAGTGCCCTGTATTTTGAACAGAACAAAGCTAATAGAAAAGAATTTGCATTATAGTCCAGAAAAAAGTATATATTTAATGGGATCAAAGTTGAAATCTTATTAATTTTTTTGATGGAGTTGATAAGTTTTTAAAATTTTTCTTAGTTTCAATTAAACATATTGAAAATGATTTATAAATAACATTACACAGAACACTATAACTATCAATGTCCAAGAAAGTATAGTATTTACAATATAATCCATTTTAAAATCATAAATCATTTCTTCTTGGCCATCACCGGAGACATTACCCCTTGATTTACCTTCAATATATTAGCTAACGTGCGTTTCTCTAACATATGCTTTTCGCCAGCTCAAGTAAAATAACACCCCCCCTCTCCCGCTCACTCTCGCGCGCGCGCGCTAATAATATTACTTAAAAAGATAATGCAATAGATATTGATGTGGTTTAATTTTTTTATAATGATTTTATTGCATTCAAGAGACTGCCTTCAAGTATGTTTAACAATTAGCAATTTAACAAATTTGACCCAAGTCCCAGTTGATCTCTTATTGATGGAGGAGACGAGGGTTTGTGATTCCCTCTGAACAATGAGCAAAAGTGCAAAACCATCCAACTTTATTACAAATCCTTGGGACTCTCTCTCCCGTTGTATGCACAATCACATGAAGACCCAACAAATAAACTCAACAAGGGGAAAATTTGAGTGCAAACAATAATGCAACAAAAAATAATGAAATAATAGTAAGCGTAAAGTTATGTGACATTCAATTTTATTTCCCTACAAGGCTGCTACTTCTCTTGCCTCGAGAAAATGTTGTTACAAGCCCTTATGGTTTTCCCCTGTGTTTAATTAAAATAGGTGAATGATCTTCTTCTTCCTAGCACTTGGGAAGATCGCTTGGAGGTGGAAGCAGAGACTCGTCTGGTCCTTTACCATTGTCCACCACAAATGCCATCTTCAATCCCCAGCTTGTGTGAATTTCAAGATGGCAATGCATGAACCACACCCCTGTCAATTCAATCAATCAAGCATCAGTAAGCGAAATTGTTACTTAAATAATCTTCGAACTTGATGTTTAAACTTGTGGCATGAGAGAAATGTTACCGGGATTATCAGCTTTGAACCTAATGGCGGTCCACCCACCGGCTGGAACACCAATTGTGTTCCTCTCCACAGGGTCGATGAGGTTGAATTTTTTCGGATCTTTCTTGGGATTGAAATTTCCAGTTCCTCTGCCAACCACAAAAAAATTGAAGCCATGAAGATGAATTGGATGATTTTCAGGTGCTATCATTCCCGTATCCTGCAACACCAGCTCAACTGTTGAGTTGTAAGAAAGCCTGTAAAGCCTCGTTCCTATGGTGGAGGCGAAGTTCGTTGGCTGTGTCCTCGTGAAATTGAACATCACCGGAGGCTTCGCGGGGAAATCATCAGTGAAAACCCCGCTAATGTTGAAGAAATGTGCCTGAAGTAGAGAAATCTCGGGCATCACGAAGGAAACGTTGTTGAAATCGGCAACCACGCGACTTCCATTTACGCAAGTAGGACAAGGGTTAATTCCGAGGCCGACGGTGAAGAACAAGGAATGGTCGATCTTCAAGGGGACTCGTGCAGGGTAAGTGTTTGAGTTCAGGCTTCTGAGAGAATCAGTGAACTTTGTGGCTACTGGTGTTGCGTTTTTGGGAGGAAGGGAAGTGAGGGTGGTGATGGTGGAACTAACGGTGCCTGAGTAGTGTAATGTGGCTATAGCTGTTCTATTGTCTACTAGGATAGGAGCGTCCATAAAAGGAGATGCTGCAACCAAGTACTTTCCTGTGGCTCTGTTGGTTGATAGAAGGACATTTGTGGTCTGGCCTGGTGCTATAACTATGATGTCTGTTTTGAAAGGTTTTGTGTAGGCCGCATCTACCTCAACAATTGTGAGTTGGTGGCCTGCAATCTTAAAGAAGAGCTCTTCATTTAGTGCAGCGTTGATGATCCGCAACAAGTAAGTTTTTCCTTGTTCAACTTGAAAATTAAATCCTGCTCGCAAAGGAAAGATGATAATAAGTCTCATGGTCATAGGCTTCATGCAGCCACCCAAGTTACAAAAAATTTGTTACCAAAGATAAGTAAATCAAATAAACTGAGCAGAAGTATGAGGCCACATTTTCCTTAGAGAAACTAGTCTGGAACGAGTTAACGGGTTTTTGTTTGGGACTAATTTGATTTAATTTTATAGATAGAGCCTATTGAAGGGTAAGGTAAATGCTTTTACCTCGTGAAGCACAGCCTTGGACAGGACCTGGGTGGCCATTGATGGTGTGAGCATCAGAGACATTAGGGGCTAACCCAGACTTCATAGCTTCATTGATAACAGCTTCTGTATCTGATTTCCACCATTCACCTAACCCAAATTAAAGTAAAATGAGATTTATGAGGTGCGATTTTCATCTCATTCGAGTATTTACAAATTAGACTGCTGAGCAGGGGAAAACAAAGGAAAAGGTGGTAGAACTAACCCAACAAGATAATTTGTTCCATGTGAGGTCTGGGAAAAGGGTAAGGAACCCCAAGCTTGGGCATGATGACTAAGGCTCCATGGATAGTGGCCCTGAGCCAGAGGATGTGTGCGTGCCAAAATAGGGTACCTCTTTGGCCTGTGAGAGTGAAGTTGTACATGTAGACCTGGCCCGGTTGAATTGGGCACTGGGTTATATATGCTGGCCCATCAGCCCAACCTGTTCTCAGCTGTCTAACACCATGCCTGAAATTAAAAAAAAATAAAATCTTGAAAATTCTTATTTTTAGAAGTAGATTTGATTTATAAAATGTAATCCAAATCAATCATGAAGATCTTGATGAGATCTATATACAAGCATGTTGGCATGTATCTATTTGTACTTGGTTTCGTGTGAAAAGATTCTGTAGACAGCATTAATCTATTTTTTTTAATTCATTATCAGACAATTTAAATAAAAATATCGAAAGATTGATGTTAGTTGTTAAATCAGTAATTTGAGTGAGTACCCACCAGTGGATGCTGACGTTGTATTTGACGTGGTTGACCACCTTAACCAGAACAGTGTCATCTTCCCTAGCATAGATGGTGGGACCTGGGTACTGTCCGTTGACGGTTACTATGGGCTTGGTTGAACACAATCTCGTTGCGTTCTTCATCACCACCTGTATAAAAAATATTAAAATTCACCAAACTTGAGTGCCTTGCTCAACTATATCACGCTTTGCTGTTTGATAAAGCCTTGCTGAGTCATATTTTGTAGCATTAGGCCCTTGCTTCGTTGCGTGGTTGAACTAATGGGTTGAAAATGTATTAAAAGGGCGAATGATTACGTAAATTGTTTTTGGCCAGCAGAAAAAATATTGGAGTCGGCTTTGCTTCTCCCAACCTTCGCTCCACTGCAGCACCTCTTACCATATTATCAGACATGAATAGTTCATATTTAATATTTTAATTTTAATTTTATATTTATTAAAATAAAATATTTATAAAAGTTATATTTTTTTTAATAAATTTGATTACCAATCTAGGCAATTTACATGTGTATTAGGAAAATAAAAACTCATAAAAAATTTAATATTAAATATGCACTATTCATAATATATTTGAATGGTCAATTTATAAAAATTATAAAATTTTTAATATTAAATTAAACTGTTTAGATTAAATTTGTATTGTCTAAATTGATAATAAATAAATTTATTAATTTTTTTTAATAATTTTTATTTCCCTAATGCAAATGTAAACTTTCCAGATTTGTGATCAAATTTATCAAATTTTTTTATAACTTTTATAAATATTTTATTTTAATAAATATAAAATAAAAATAAAAATAAAAATATTAAATTTAGATCGTTCAAATTAATCTACTCCCTAGGTGGAAGGAACTGCAGCGGAGCAAAGGTTGAGAAGAGCAAAGCTGACTCCAAGAAAAATCGTATGTTGTACGGGCAATTTTTCAGTATCTGAAATCTATTGGCACACTTAATCCGATACTATCATCACCTGTAAGATTAATTTAGCTGTTCTTAGGTACATGTCTAGATGTCTTAAACTCTTATTTAACATGAAACATTGGCTAGCTAAAAGAAATAATGAATATTATTTATGAGTAAGCTTTTCCTGTGGGTCTGTTTAAAAAAAGCGAGTCATTTGAGTGGGAATATTCACGTATTAGAAACTGACCATGATTGGGAAAAGAGATGGTCTTAAAGTAAATTGCATGAAAATGATTCAATCAAATCAATATGTGGACATTTACTAATATGCTTAGCTTTCGCTTATTCGCTTGTAAGAACTGCAGAATGTTATCGAGATACAATATCAATAGAAAAGGACGCTCATTCGCTTTCATAATTAGTGGCTTTTCAATCTTAATTACAGATCATTTGTCAAAACAATGACTACTTGAAATAACAATATTGCATGCCCAAATATTTGAAGTTGAGACATAATTTAAAACACCCTGATCATTGCAACTTAGAAAGATGTCAGTTGAGGCACAGCCAGAGTTTACTCATCCAACTGAAACTCTGAACTCTAATTCCAGTTAATGTCCATGCAATCAATTAATCTAATCAAAATATATTGAAATGGGGGCATTCTGTTTAATCTCGACGGATATAAAAAAATATGAAGTTCATTTTGATTCCTTTTATTGCTCTCATTTTTTTTCTCTACTTTCATTATGATTGCATGCATATAAAAACTGCATTATAATGCACTTACGTTGAACTTGTAATGCCTAATTCTGGCCTCCGCAGATAGAGGAAGCAAGCATGCTGCAGCTAGCAGAATGACTCGAATCCACATTGCCGCCACACTCATTTGTTCAGTTGTCTGTGTTTGTGTTTCTTCTGCGTGCACACAGAACCACAGATGCCTCTGTTTTCTTTGGATGGCTGCTATGAAATGGAACTCATCTTATATAAGAGGTTCGTACACTCACTGCTGCAATGTCCTTTTAACCAGTTGGTTGGAGGAATACTAATTCAGACGTAAGGTCTATAATATACAAATCCCAACAAAGAAAAGGAATTAAAAAAAAAAAGATAAAAAATGAACTGAGATGAAAAATGAAAAGCTGGCTAGGAACTTCTGTTATTTTCTTGTGTATTACATAAAGTAGTTATCCATCAAACTAAGAAATCTTTCGAAGCTAAGCTAGTTGAGTTTCTGGTGATGCCCCTCTTTTCCTTTAATTTTTCTACATAACTAGGTGGTCTGATGCTGGGTTTGGTCCAACCATATTGGGTAAAGTACAACAATCCCATCTAAAATATAATACCCATTGGTGGAATGGAATGGATATACTGAATTCTGCCTGATGATCAAGTGAAGATGTGACATAAATAGAACAATTAATAATACAATCGCCTCTCCAATCATAGAAAAGTAACTTCTAGTTTGTCATTGCTATTCCCAGTTGGTACAAACCTAATTTTGCACAAAGTAACAACTTTTGAAAAATATTAACACATATAACTCTTTTATGTTTCAATATTGAAATTGTAACAGTATTGGTATACTTATCAGATATAACATGAAGGAATTGGTACATGCAATTCGTTGGTTAGGATATGATGAGGAATGTGAAGTTGTAATAATAACATCTTCAACTTGAAATGGTAAAAAAGAAAAAAGGAGTAGAATGAAATTTATGACTTGCGCCATTGTGGTCCAAGGAGAGAAAATGTCAGTGGTTTTGGCGTTCAAGAAAGGCAAAAAAGGGTGGTGGGGATAGAGTAGGTGAAATGTAACAAGCACTATAGGGATTGTTAGTCCAACAAAAGTTTATTTATTGGTGAAGAATGGCTTTCAGGGATAGTTGGTTGATATTAGATTCAACATATCAACATAAACAAATGTATTCCCCAGAGCTAGAGATTTCGATCGAGGACTGGTTGCTTACCATTCCATCTCAAATAAATTATTCAAACTCGCATGTTGACCGCATTCCCACCGATTAGTTTATTTAACACCTTGTGTAACACATTTTCTTCTAGGCCCCATCTACCCTGCCGCCTTCCCAAGATATTAAATAACTTATAAATAAATAAAATAATATTCAATCTACCACTTTAAATTAAAAACAAGTATTTACACTTATCAGAACAAATATGGTCAATGCTCAATAATAACATATAGAAATCATATATCTTAAAAGTTCTACTATAATTACGTTCCACTTTATAAGCTCATAATGTTTTCCTTTTTCCTTTATTTATCATGTAATTGTTATATATTGGAGTGCTTCTTAATTAACTCTCACGTAGTTACATCATTTTTCCATTTGCTCTTCAACATATTCGTTGTTTTAAATTGGAATTTATAGTTGCGTGCATTTTAATCCTTTTAAAGTATAATTAAATCAATTTTGTTGGCACACACTGCTTTATGTAATATTTCTTGACATGATGACATTTAAATCCACCGTGGTACTTATTCATTGTTGATTTTTTTTTTAATAAAGATGAATAAATTAAATATAAAATAGTTAGTTGATCGTAATCAATTCTGCCTGGTTGCGCCCGTGGAGAAACGTTGTGTGAGCAAACTTGACATGTCGTCAGTACTTTTTAGGCAATATTTTTAAAATCGTATGTATTATTAATATGATTAAGTCATGAATTGAAGGTCATTGATACGGTAAGTCATGATTCGAAGTTGATTGGTCAACGGTGCAGTGTGGATTAGATAAATATTTTGTTTTAATTTTATATATCATATAGACAATTGAAGAAA